TTTTCCAAAATAGAAAGATTAAAAAAAGCCCAAAGAAAAATCCCTCTTAACGAAGTTGCTGTTAAACTGACATTATTAAAAATACTAACCCCACTTTTCTTCCTGCCCCATCCTAAGAGTAATTCATCAATTTATTCTTGCAAACAAGCATTCCACAGCAACGGGGGAGGGGGGGAAATTAAAAATCTCTCAGTATTTATAATCTATTATAAATGAAATTAAATTATTTATTGTGTAACCCTGTAGCTACTTTTAGCAAACTTCCCACTGTTATTTCAAATTGTGTGCAACAGGAAAAAAGAGAAAAGAGATTTCTCATCTGCTTTTCTTGTTTTCCCTTCACAAAAAGGTAACATTCTGATATGTATATAATGTGCCATATTCTAATAAAAGTATATTTGGCTGGGAGTTCCCAGGGTGAAGTCTGTTGCCAGCAATGGACCCACTGGGAAGAGCAGACGCCTAGAAAATTAAATCAAATCCAAAGTGAAGTTTCGAATAACATCCAAAGCTCCTGTATCAAAGCCACATATATCCAACATGCCTCTGTCGTCTGGATCTGCGATCGTAAAACCATTTGAGGTCATTCCACAAACAATCAATTTAGCAGGAATACCCATTTTCTAGAGGAAGGACAAAAAAAAAAATTAGAACACGCATATACAGTAACTTAAACACGGCAGAGGGCCAAATCTTGCTATGTTGCTTGCATAAACCACTGTCTGAATAGGCATACTGATAGAAACTAGATATGCCATAACCAGAATTGCAGACTGCCTGTTAACATTGTACTTAACCTGCAGTATGTATATTTAAATAAATGGAAATAATTACAATGAGGTACATTAGCACAACTTTCCTGCAATACTAAGATTTATGGATTATTTCAAATGCAACCATTGCATTTGCTATTCTGCAGTTCATTCTGAGAGAAAACTTTCAATAATAATTATCGAATCATCTAATAGGAGTCAAAGCGTGTGGTTTTGTCTAAGGCAAGGATTTCCAAATGTTGGTGGAACACATACAACATCTGTGGCCTGGACAATTCTGCTAAATGAGCTAAATTTGCAGGTTAGTAACCTGTAAGGTAAAGCAAAGCAAGCGGCATGAAGGCCAGAGTACAGGAACTCTTTGTTTAAGGAACAAATTTAGGAGTGGGAGCTAATCTCAACTAAGAAAACTAAAATACAGTGGGCAAGTTAAAGATTTTTGGTATTAATTTCAACTGGGTGGACATGATATGAAGATTAATGTCCATACATACATGCTTGCCAAAAAGTATTTTTTGTAGTTTAAAAAATAGTTCCTTTAAAGCGTAAAAGATTTCTTGCTGATTAAGTAAGAGTTTCTAATAGCAATGTGCTTGAAGAAGGTATTTTTCTTACTTCTATTTTGAAATTATGAAGCTGCACAGCTTAGAGTAGCCCCTTTAAAATACAGTGAGCTTTCTTCACAAGATACTATCACCTTATCCTATTGACACCTTCCCTACAGGCTTATCTTTATTACTTCATTTAAACTTTGTGGTATCTAATGCAGACATCAAAGTTAAATTTAATTCTATGAGCCAAATTTCATTCTGTAAGAACTATAAAAAACTTACTCAATCAATTATATATAGAATGCAGAAATGCACATATTCCCTGAATACCAAATTTTCATTGATATTGCAGTACATGGAGCAGGGTAGGATAATTACAAATCCTTTTAGCAATTCAGTGGTTTTAAACAGGCGCAACTAGTGCAATATGTGCACTAATTCTGCCTAACTGCAGAATATATCAGTTTTTAACAATATATAATTATCTACTGGTAAAAGCCACAACTAGTTCAGTCTCTAAAACATTTTTAGAACTGGTATTTACTTTGTACTATATTCATCAATTATAAACAGTCAGAGGCATATTTACCTCCCTGTACTCTCTAAGAGCTGTTGCAGGATGAGTATTTCCAGCAAAGGTCTCGTTATCAGTAAATACAATGAAGACATCAGCAGCTGTCTGAGTTTTTTGAGCCCATATCATTGGAAGGGAACAATCAGTGGTACCCATTGGAATCTTAAAAGGAAAAAAAAATAGGTAGAACACATTGATACAGAAATTAGTAAAACACAGAAAAACTACTTCTTATGTAAGCTTCATGTTTTATCACACACAGAGGCTTCTTTGTTAATGTCCTGGTTTTGGCTGGGATAGAGTTAATTTTCTTCCCAGTAGCTGGTACAGTGCTGTGTTTTGGATTTAGCATGAGAATAATGTGATAACACACTGATGTTTTAGTTGTCACTAAGCAGTGTTTATACTAAGTCAAGGACTTTTCAGCTTCCCATACCCTGCCAGCCAGGAGGTGCACAAGAAGCTGGGAGGGGGCACAGCCAGGACAGCTGACCCAAACTGGCCAAAGGGATATTCCATACCATGTGACGTCATGCTCAGTA